CTCAGCTCAAGCTATTTGTGCCATAGCCTTACAGCACTCACACGTTCATAAAGAATCAACTATCAAAGTTTTCATTAGACCGAATACGAACCCGTCTCTCCAGCGACCAAATACAGTTCCATACTTCGCTGGGGTCTCCAACGTGCCTCGATAGCAATACCAACGTAGCGGAGCAACTCGGGGACGCAACATAATGTGCGCACTTTGCGTGCGGCTGCGTGCCAGCCTCCGTGCAAACGCTGGCCCTTCCCTAAAACTGGCGCTCTGTTCATTACTCCTCCCCTCCCTCTCCTCTCCCTCCCTTCCTCTCTCCCAGTATGCGTACTTGACTAGCAGCCAGAAACGTTCATGTTCCGCTCATGAGATTATTGGGGACGCAACATAATGTGCGCATTTGCGTGATGGCGACTTTCCTAATTTCTTTCTTCTCCCTCAAAATTCTTGATCCTAAAGTTGCAAGGTGGCCTTTTAGAAGCAAAGTGTACCATTCCTCTGCAATCCATCAGAGCGCGCGAAACGGATTTTTTTAAAACACAGCTTGACTTTCTGCTGGAATGTGAACTTCAAAGTGGGCAAGTACATGCTGCAACAAAGAGAGGGTGAACATCCATTACAGTTCTTGCTCCACAGCGCCATTACCGCAGCAAAGCTCTCAGATTCTCAGAATTCCTCTGTAAACGACCTTCTCTGCGAATTCCTCTGTGCGAAATTACTTTGGTCGATTCCGTGTAACTAGCCGACCAGCATTAATCCTCTTGAAAGAGATTCAGTCTGACAGAAATCCGACCTGCAGCTCGGTCTGGATTCGCAGGCTCTCACACAGTGCATTCACTGTGAGAATCATTGAGGGCGACGAGGTAATGAGGGGGATTGATCGCTCTGCACGAACTGCCAACTTGGTGGGGGAGGGATAGAGGGAGGGGATGCGTGGGGTATAAATGCTGCACTAGTGCACCAGATGATTATTCCTTCTTGAAACCGTTGGACCATCCCTTTAAAGATCAACTTAGCTCAAACCCCTCTTCTCAGCAAACCACTTATGACCCTGACCAGCTTCGTAAATAGGACTCCATACCCGCAGGATTTCTCAAGCATGTTGTGTTTCCGGTTAAGCGATCACAGCCTTTTAGCTGAATTCATTTCTCGTCCTTTTCATTCTTACTTCGTCCCCTTCCTTTTTATTACCCCTTGTTCTCATATTAACACGTTCCGGACCGCGTGACACACATGGTGTGTCATACGTTTTTCTCTCTGCGCCGTTTCATATGGCCTATTTGGCATCTTCTTCATGCTCCGAAGTTATCAGAACACGTATCTTAGGCGCAGAGTACACATACAGTGTGGTTCGCTGCGGACGGTTGGGCGTGTCAGGCGGGATGAGTTTGGCGCGGTGCCAAACCCGTTCTCCAGCAGTTGTTAAAGCGAGCAAATGACAAGGTTGTATCATATCGTTCGTATTACTCGTTTTCTACCATTGGTTGTCGCATGCGCGCTTCAACAAGAAGGCAGAGAACGGCTTTGACGGCGTGACACACTCATACTGCCTGACACGCCCAACCGTCCGCAGCGAAGGAGTATATCTCATAGAAAAGGGAACGAAACGGATGAACTCGCTGATTATCGGTTTGAAAAAGAACGAAATCATGCGCAGATCCCCGAACAACGTGTCCGGAATGTGTTAAAGCCTGCCCACTAAGAAGCGCGAACAGGAGACTATCGGCGCAGTCAAACATCTTATTAATGAGATGACCACTACGCCGATGCTGAAGCGTGTTCCTCAGCTATGAGTCATTGATGGCTCGAACAGGGTTCGCTCAGCCATCTGTCGTGCTCGCTCCTTCCATACTAATGGCATTGGTGTACAGGATACAATTCGCAGCTGTGCCTGGCTTCGATCACAAGCGGAATATCCCTAGCTATCTCATTTCGTTCATGGTAATGCATGCTGGCGAGAGAATCGATGTCAGTCTTCGCATGCCCAAAGGGTTGCTTTAAAGGCAGACTTCGCAATGAGCCACCAAAAATTCGTAGGTAGCGTGATTAAAAACATCTATGTGCTAGTTGACTTACCCGTGAAGGAAGAAGAAGAGGAAACCGTTCAAAACCCGTCCATGAAGAGAAAATGACAGAAAGATAACATCGGGAACGCATTTAAAGGAGCGGTCCGCGATGACCTATGAAAATGCAAGAGGTTATGTGGGAAGGTAGTGCGGTCCGGAGTGGACAACCCTGTGCCAGTTTCGCGGGAAAGTTGTACGGTAAAGGAATTAAGGCGCAAAGTTGCTTCAGTGGTACATCCCTTTTTCCAGTGACTCCGCCTCCAGACTCCGCCTCCAAAGTCGGCCTTCCAGCCAAAAGTAATGCTCCCGGGCAAGTATCATGGAGTGGATGCATTCAATGTCTCTTGTAGAGTCATAGGGTTCATTACTGGGAATCAGCCGACGGGAATCGTCCCAGCGCGCGGTCTTTTTCGTCTTTTACCTCTACAGTTGTTTGAGGCTAGAGGAGGCCTGACGAATGCCAATTTACTTCCACATTTCTGCAACATCACCTGGGCTTTTCTTTTCTCGATAAAAAGGCAAACTCTGTGCAAAGGCACGGTCCGCGATAAAAAGGCAAGGTCCGGCAAAAACCGAAAAGACCGCGCGCTTGGCGATTCCCGTCGGCTGATTCCCAGTAATGAACCCTATGACTCTACAAGAGACATTGAATGCATCCACTCCATGATACTTGCCCGGGAGCATTACTTTTGGCTGGAAGGCCGACTTTGGAGGCGGAGTCTGGAGGCGGAGTCACTGGAAAAAGGGATGTACCACTGAAGCAACTTTGCGCCTTAATTCCTTTACCGTACAACTTTCCGCCGCGAAACTGGCACAGGGTTGTCCACTCCGGACCGCACTACCTTCCCACATAACCTCTTGCATTTTCATAGGTCATCACGGACCGTTCCTCTAACTAGCAGTTGTCACTCTGGAAGCTGTGAA